TCCTAGGAGAAAACGGCGACGTCGATGGTTGTGGGTCTAGGGCGCTCGTCCTTAGGGGCACATGCATGAAGACTTTTCGACTGTTATCGATAAGGTTAGGGGGCTCTAGTATGAGAGTGGCGGCAGGGCCGCGCCCGCAGTTCATCCTGTCGGCGGAGACAAGCCCCAGGCTGCCCAGGCGGTGGCCTGGGGCGTGAGGCTGTGTTCCTTTGTGTATTGTAGCTAGTTTTATACTGTTTATTATTGTAGCTAGTAGTTTGCCTGGGGCGTTCCTAGTTTCTGGCTCCGCCACTGGACCCGATGTTATATTTTATTGTGTTTAAGATGCTTTGGTACTTCCGATGAATCTTTTGTAGTATATTATATGTCTTTGCGAAAAAAGATGTTTACTAAGGGAATGACATATGATGTTGTCGATGACTCCCAAAAAAATAAAAACTTTGCCTCGCCTGCTCCCAAAAAGATAGAAACGGATTGTGCACATTCAATCCGTTCGTGCATGGCAAGATAGCCCGGTCGTGGTACGTAGCACATCCGGGGAGGACGGCGGATGGGTCGTGTTTCGCGGTATGACGCCGGCTCGAAGTAGCTGGCCTATCTACTCGATCTATCATCGATCCCTGGCCGATGCAGATGGAATTGAGTGCAGTGCAGCAATTTGGACGCGGACGGCAAAGTGTAACCGCAAGATGCTTGGTGTTGAGCTATATATCCATGCACGGGCTGGCCATGGTGGATGGAGATGGAATAAAACGCATGCACGCACTCAGCGAGGGTTGGTTCGGAGGCCGACGACGTGCATGAAAACAAGTTTTTCATTTTATGCATGCATGTATTGTGTGGTACGTGAAGCTACTAGCTATACTACTCCTAGCTATGATGATATGATGAAGACCTTCAAGACGTCGACTCCATAAGATCCCCACGCAGAGCAAATCCTAGCCTCATTTCACTCCGATCCGTTTCCTTTTGCTCCAACCCGTTTCATTTCTCCCGAGCACGTGTGACCACGTGCAGCAACTCCGACGGCAGCTCCAGTTTAGGTGCGACGGCGCCCGCGCACGGATCTGCGAGGGCAGCTCAATTGGCGGCGCCCGGCCCATCCGTCGGCCTCCTCCACCTTTGGCCGTTGCTTCGTGCAGGCAGCTCCGAATCAAAGACTTTTCGACTGTCACCGATAAGGTTAGGGCGGCTCTAGTATGAGAGCGGTGGCAGGGGCGCGCCCACGGTTCGTCCCGCCGACGTCAATTGTCGTTTGATGGTCCATGGACCCGATGTTATATTTATTATGTTTGAGATGTTTTTGATACTTTCGATGAATCTTTTATAATAGATTTTATGTCTTTGCAACAAAAAAATGATTACATGGCATCGTGAACGTTGAAGCAGGCTTGAAGCTCATCATCGCGTTAGGAGCTCGGTGGGTGACGTGCATGCACGCATGCAAAGAAGTTCTTTTTCTTTATGCATGCATGTGTGGTACGTACGTGAAGCTACTGGCTAGGATGATATATGCGATGCAGACCTTGAAGCTCGTTGACGCGCCCGGGCACATCTGGCCCCACAAAATTCCCATCTAAAGCAAACCCTGGCCTCCTTTCACTCTGCTCTGCTTCGCTCCGATCCGTCAACTCCCGAGCGTCGGCGATAATGTCCAACATCAGCAGTCACTCTGATGGCTCGAGCGACGACGGCTGGGACTCCTTCTTCAGTGATGATGTCGGAGACAAGGACAAGCTGGGCCTCCGCACCGTGCTGGAGCAGTGCTTGCGCGTGTGTGTATATATGATCGAGTGACGGCTTTGGTTTTAGGTGCTTCGTGCCCCGCGCGCGGATCTGCGAGGGCAGCTCAATCGGGCCGGCCGTCTGTTGGCCTCCGGCTATTGCTTCGCGCATGCAGCGGTGGGTTCTAGTGCCCGCTCCGCCGGCGCCGCGGATGTGCACTCCGGAATCGGATGAGCGCATCCTCAAGTGGGTATAGTGACGGTCACTTACGACGGACACCCGGCGGGTTGAGTAGTCTGAGTAGGCGGGAGGCGACGAGGGTGGGGCAAGCTCAAACGCATCGTCCGACGCTTAAAGGGCCACATGGTCATCTCCGATCAGCGAGGCGTGCACGTCCATACACACATACGTACGTACGTACATGCAAGAAATTCAATTCAATTCAAATTTGAATTGAAATAGGAGGGAGGATGGATCGCGCGATGGGTTTCCAAAATAAGGGACCGGCCAGCGAGCCAGCGTGCAATTAAGGGACTGGACTGGACTTGGCGTTCTTTCTCAATCAATAATAATGATAATAAAAAAAGAAAAAAGGGACTGGACTTGGCTCACCGGCAGGACAGGAGAGGACGGTAAAGACATCCACCACCGTGCGGGCTGACAGGGAAAAATATCGCTGTGTGTCAAAGTATAAAATATTCAGATTCCATGTGTACATGAGGCTTTATTGATTTGGATTCCAGCTTACCTTAATAGTGGAGAATAATTCACAGGGACTTGAGGCTCACACAGGTGACAGGCCCCTCCAAAGGAGTCCAGAAACCCAAGCCTTGGAGGAACAAGTTGAGAAGCAACCCAAGCCACTTCCTGTAACTGTAAGCATTCCATTCCTTGAGCAGAACGCAGTGAGCCTTGCATGCTCTGGTGATGCAGTGATCAAGCATGATCTGTTTTCGTGTAACCTCGGAGCTCATTTGTTGTGAAACCCAAGCCATGCATGTCTGTCTATCTACATGTGCCAAACTTCTAACTTGTTTTGTCCGGCTGTTATGTCATGTGCCCCTGGGCTGAACTGAACTCTCTATGCATGCATGCTAGGTTGCACTGAATCGAGCAACAGACGGACACAGATGAAGCATACGATATGATCCCAAATGAAAAACAAAGGACACAGATGAAGCCCTGGCACTGTTGGACATGGATGGCTTCACCATGAAACACCTCGGAGTGACGGGGGAGGGAGGACAGCCACAACCCATTTAACACAGCGAGCGACCCGGGAACGAACGGCTTCTAACAAAAAGGGACGCTCCGCTTCGAATTCGCATCGTGTGTTACTGTTTCAGGAAAGAAATTGCACGGTCGGAGCAGGGACCGGCTGCCTGCCTTATTTGTGGCGCGACGCCGACATCACAAGATGATCGCTCCGCGGCTTCCTTCCAACCATGACGCAACGAATGATTGGCCGGCGATGCGTCTTGGTAGGCAAGGAAGGAAGCCACGTGTCGACCTTTGAGCACCGGTAAACAGGGTTCGTATACTTGATGGCATCCGTCCAAACCCAATGTCTAGGACACATAATCGCCGCTAAAGAATTGTATAAATTACCAACACTACGAATTGTGTGCATATTCTAAATGGTAATAGTAATGTTTCAACTGACTCTGATACTTTTACTGCATCCCAACATTGTACCTATCTATAGCATGAGATTAGCATTGATGTGGCAAGGAATAACATGTTTAAATCAGGTGTAACATATACTTTTCATTTGTAGTTCAACAAATAATTAATTAATATGTGGACTTAAGAAAATTCACGTGAGATTTGTCTAAGTGCAACAATGTTGAACAATTAACTGTGATTTCTTTTTGATATACAAAGCCTACTGGTTGATGTGTTTTGGTACAGTTAAGGAGGTGGTGGCGGCCGCCTAGGGTAGATCGGGAGGAGCACGTCGCCTGGCCAGCTCGTGCCTGGCCATGTGCTAGAAGGCTGGTCCAACAAATAATTAATATGCACACCTAAAAGCATAATGTGAGATATGTCTCACTGCTATAATGTTGAACCACCATGTGTGATTTGTTTTCTGACATATGAAATTCTACTGGTTATGATATAGTACTACCTCTGATCCAAATTAATTGACACAACCTCTATACAATTTTCATTTTACATTTTATAGAGGCCGCGTCAATTAATTCGAATCGAAGGGAGTATATATTTTGGTACAGTTGTGAGATTGAACGGATGTGATCATTTTGGGTATAACTATATGGATCCAACGAACCCTATTTATTTAGGCACCACTATATCGATCTATTGTATGTGATCGGTTTAGGTATATTTATATAGATCTAAATGTTATGATCCATTCATGTACAATAATATGACAAATGCAATCTGTCTAGGGACAATTATGCAGATCTAAGTGGTACAGTTTTGAAGATTGAACGGATGTGGTCATTTTAGGTATAACTATGTGGATCCAACGAAGCCTATATATTTAGGCACAACTATATAGATTTAATGTATGTGATCAGTTTAGGTATAGTTATATAGATCTAAATGTTATGATCCATTCATGTACAGTAATATGACAAATGCAACCTGTCTAGGGACGATTATGCAGATCTATCTGCTACAATCATGTACTCTCCCGTCCCATAATACAAATAACTCACACCATATGTTTATAATCTACCAATAAAGTGATGGTCCACCAGATCGACGACCAAACGTTTTTCTTTTCTTTTTTAGGAACCTCTAGCACATCTGTTTCATTGTATAGTACTCCCTCCGTCTCGAAATACTTGTCAGATAAATGGATATATCTATACATATTTTCATTCTACATACATCCATTTTCCGAAAGTATTTTCACATGGAGGGAGTATATTTAAGATTGGAATATATGATTTCATGAATGATTTGTTTTTCAAATGTGTGATATACTGTAAAAGGCCTCTTAAAATTGTGATTTTGCATAATTAACTCATACCTTTTCTGCTTGCTCACGACAGTGCAACTGCACACTTCGTGAACAGCGCACTTAACAGCGACCATGTTGTTCCCTTCGATGATTGGACCCTTTTCCTCCCCACATATGACTGTCCAGCTACTGTGCTTCCCGGACAGTAACTGCAAACCAGACACACGCTCACAAATCAATCCAGAATTTAAGGCAACTAAATAGACAGCTTCCATTTGCCCTAAATAGGCTTCCTCCGACGATTAGACCTCGCCGGCCGAGTCACCAGCCGGACAATCAACTCATGGATCAGCTCCCTCTTCTTGGGAGCGGCCCCAAAGCCGCAGCCATTACCCCTTCCTTCGTCGCAACGGATCAGTACGCCGCATCCACATCAGCTTCACCACCGGAAAAGGCGCCGCCGGCAGCACCGCTCCCGGCCCCGGAACACCATGGAAAGTCCAGCCACAACAGGAGATCATCTGACACGATCAAGGCCAAGATCATGTCGCATCCTCTCTATCCGGCTCTCCTCGGAGCCTTCATAGACTGCCGGAAAGTACGTACTGTACATATATAGACGAGCACAGCTTGTATCTTTGCTGCCCTGCTGTTTCTTATTTTGTTATTTTTTCTCTGTCTAATAAGGTCGGAGCGCCGCCGGAAGTCGTTGGTCGGCTCTCCTCCCTCGTCGACGAGCTCCGGCCAAATTCAGCCGGCAGGCAGGAACAGCCGGCGGACCCAGAGCTCGACCAGTTCATGGTAACAAGTATTACATGATTAGTTTAGCTGGCTGGAGCTCAATTATTTGCATATATGGATCTAGCGATATATATGCTTTTGTGTGTGTGTGCAGGAGACCTACCGTGATATGCTGGTGAAGTACAGTCAGAAGCTCACGAGGCAAATCCAAGACGCCAATCAGTTCTTGAGGAGCGCCGAGGCCCATATCGACTCGTTTGCACTAGGTGTGTGCATGCTTAATTACACTAAGTTACTAGTATTTTTGCGGGCTTGTCTTTCTAGGTTTGGGAGTTTGAGATAATGCCAAGACTGTTGCAGCTTTGCAGGCATATCCTATACTTACTTATCATCTTTGTTTTTTGCGGGAATACTTTCTTTTATTGGAACTTTCGATCTATTCATCTCTAATCATTGTAGTACAACAAACGCAAAAAATAATAAAAATTATATCCAGATTCCGTAGACCACCTAGCGACGACTACAAGTACTGAAGCAAGCCGAAGGCGCCCCGCCGTCTATGTGTGGTCATCTATGAAAGAAAACAAGTGTCAGTGTAGCGTACCATGTGGTGTGTATAATTACCGAACCTCTAGCTTAATTAATTAGGACTCTTAAATGTCTTAAAGTGGTCTGTGTGCATCTTGTGATCCAGAGGCCGTGGTTCTCCCCTTATAAAAGAAACATGGCAAAGGTGATATAACCGCAAGGAGTATAAACTCGATATCAACATAGCAAGATGCGCACAGCCCCATCAACTCGACAATCCCCCAAAAAATAACAGTCATCGTCTGGCATAAAAAAAATGAAGAATGTCTTAGGGCGATGGGGTAAACAACTTGCACACGAGCCATACACTAAACCGGCATTCATGTGGTGTAAACACCTCTCTAATTAGGGATGTAAATTTGTGACCCTCGGGGTTCCCTCTGACTCATTGAGTTTATTTAGTAGAAATAAAGAGGGCCAGAAAATGCTCTAAAGGGTACCAGTTTGCACCCCTATCCCTGATCATTTGTTCACACCGCCTACATGCTAGTTTGAACAACTTCATGTGCTCCGACCGCTGAAGCATAGACCATTTATGGGACCAACACTTAAATGAGTGTATAACCTGCAAAGGAGTACAAGTCTTCTTTTTGTCAAAAACCATATCGTTCTTGGATAGCGAAAGAACCCAACATAAGGCATCACCCCCATCAAGATATGAGAGGAAAGCTTCTTATTGATACCCACAACCAGGTGTCAAAAATATTATGCACATTACAATATGGATGTATATTTAAGGTCACCATGACTATAGACCAAACAACTCAAGGGGACTTGTATTCTGGTCACAATAAAAGACCAGAGTTTAGTAAACAAATTATATAGGCACCTTTAGGGTAGAAATATGCGATTGTACATGTACTTAAGATACTAAGCTCCCTAGGGATGCTAGCTTCTGGTGTGCCAGGGCTTAAGGGGTCACTGATGGGACCAGTAATAAGGGAGTGAATCAATATATTGTGTGTTACGTTTATGTTTACTTCGAGGTGAACATGTAACGCCCATATGTTAATTTATGTGTTACGTGTAATAACGGCATACCCACACGTAGAACAACTTAGTATACCTCGCACACCAGACACCCTATTTCGCCAACAAAAAACAAACAAACACAAATGTAATTAAAAGCCCGCCTACGTCGGATGAAACACACAATATTAATGAAGCAACCAGCCGTATAAGGATGGAAAGAAAAACTTAACTCATGACTGAAGAACGGTGCGGCAAAACACGCATTGCCCTCTGGTTATAGAAACATGTAACTACCAAATTTTCATTAGATACAAAACCCATTGACATCTCTTGAGTTAGCAAGAAGTATTTCTAGTCAACTTAGGAACATATATGCCCCCTTTTTTTTATTTATTTACCATAGCTATGTATGAAGACACTGCTGAACTGGGACATAATCAAGCTATAAGAGTTGCCACCTCAGTTTTCTTTATGAGTTTGGGAGAGAGAAGAGGAGTGGGTTGTAAACTTATAGCGGGCTGCAACATGGACTTCAACACACTTTGCAAGAGAAAAAGATGGGTAAGACCAGTGGCGGAGCTAGCGACAGATGACCGAGGGGGCAAATGACCAAATATTTTTTTAAAGGGGTCAAAAACTCCATTTCTCTCAATTTAGGGCATCCAAATACAGAGTTCCTTCACAAAAAGTCCAAGAGCTGGGAGGGCCATGGCACCTGCAGTAATACACATAGCTCCGCCAGTGGGTAAGACATTAGTGACATAATATGTAGAGCTAGCGTCTACCATATGGATATGCTTTTGGATTGACTATATATATATATGAGCATTAGCCTTGGGAAAATACACATGAGCTCCTGGGTGCTCCACACCCCTATACGAATATTAAACATAAAAAATACCAATTTTTTAAAAAAATCTGAAATTTGCGGATATCAAACCTGGGTTCTCAATCTACTCCCGTGTGAAGTTTGGTGAAAAAAATACTAGGAAACGTATCCGTGGCGAATGAAATACTGTCCGAACAAAAATTCATCCAAACAGTTTTTTCCATACATAGAAAGTTTTTTTGTCTTTTTTGCCACGAATACGCTTCCTGGTATTTTTTTCTCACGAAATTTCACACGAAGGGTAGATCGGGAACCTAGGTTTGATATCCCAAAATCTCAGTTTTTTTAAATTTCTTTGATATTTTTAAAATTTAATGTTCGTATAGGGGTGTGGAGCACCCGGGTGCTACAAATCCGCTTCCATTAGCCTTGCTCTTAGAGCTAGGCTCATATATACCCCCTTTGTTTCAGTATACAAAACATGTTGTTATTTTCAAAAGCCAAACATTTCTATGTTTGATCAACTTTATAGAATGGTTGTATTAGCATCTACAATATCAAATAGAAGATATAAATATATTTATGGTGAATCTTATGATACTGATTTGACGTTGTAGATATTGCAAATCAACCACAAAAACTTAGTTGTCCCAAATCATTGCTAGCTAGATGCTCCATTATTATGAGAGTAAAAGCAAAAAGGACACGAGGCGTACTGTATGAGACACCCGTTGCCTTTTGTTGGAAAAGAGAAGCATGGAGGCACATGCATGCTGAAACGGCCCGTACGGCCACATGCATATGCATCAACGGGCATCTTCCCGTCCCGTGTGAAGACGCCCGTTGATGCATATGCATGTTAGCCTAGCTAGGCGATGCGGTTGCGATCTCGCCAGGCATACATGCATGGCATGTGAACATCTGACTGAAATGTTCTGTGCCTCTGATGGCCGTACCGCCCGATTATTATCCAGCTTTTTTGTGCCTGCATGATTGGGCATAGGATCAATTAGCTTGATCTGGAAGAGATCATGATCAGTTCGATGTTGGATGGTGTGGTGGTGGTGGATTGGTGGTGGGGCGTGCTAGCATGCATGTTCTGTGGTAATCGATCTGGTGGTTACATGTGCAGCCAGCAGCCGATCGTCGATCGATGATAGCAAAAGCAAACCGATCGATCTAGTGTCACTAGTGACAATATTTACGTCAATTTACAGCACACTATGCGTGTATCTAACGTTGTGCGGGGGTTCTTCTTCTGAAGATGAGCAAGAGACCGGCGAGGGCATGCAGCAGAAGAGCCAGCTCCTGGACAAGTACAGCGGCTACCTGAGAAGCCTGTGGAAGGAGGTTTCCGGGAAGAAGAAGAAGAGCGGCAGGCTGCCGAGGGAGGCGCACCAGAGGCTCCTGCACTGGTGGCAGCTGCACCAGGGATGGCCCTACCCATCGGTACGTGCTTGGCTACGTACGTACTTTGAGTTCATGCATGCATGCATGGAGATCGTTACGTATCTTGGTTGGAGCTTCAATAAAAGCGCTAATGGCGCCATACGTGCGTGCGTTCCAGGAACAGGAGAAGCTGGCGTTGGCTGAGTCGACGGGGCTCGACACGAGGCAGATCAATAACTGGTTCATCAGCCAGAGGAAGCGGCACTGGAAGCCGACGCCGCCGGCGATGGACAGCAGGTTGCAGCACATCAACGCCGGTGCTTCCAGCAGCAGCTCTCCTGCGGTCCTTGGGATGGAAGGGCAGCACTTCACCGTACGGAGTGGGTGTCCCGACGGTGGTCCGTTGAGACCCTGATCAGTGGACATATACCATCCTATGCCATATATATACACACACGTCCAGACGTGGTAGATGTGATTCATTGCAGAGTGAAGTTCATGATGGAGCGTAAATGTGATCAACTCAACAATAATTTTTCCAACCATCAATTATAGTTAAATACTGAGGCCGGTAACCAGGCCCAGCTAGGTGCAAAAGAATGTTAAACATTGGGCGGGCCGGAATTGGCCAGGCCAAGTGAAAGAACTTCATTCCTTCTCTCAAGGCCCAGTTCTGACTTCATTCTTCAATATTTTATGTGGATTGTTAGAATTGAGAGAGAGAGAGAGAGAGAGAGAGAGAGAGAGAGAGAGATTGACACGATTTTTTAAAAATAAAATGGATTTTATGACCTAACAACTACTACACACGCCCGCCAACTCTGTATATCCCTAGTTAACAACCGATCTATTTTTATATTTTTGGAACGAAGGCTCGTGAAGAGCCCAGTTTTGAATTAACAAAGTCATCAACCGGCCAGGAGTTACATCATACAACACAAAGGACGACGACCAAACTGATACAAAGGGGAGGCTGGTAAGCAAACCAAAACCACAGCCTACACAAGCTAACTGAAGAAAGGAAAATGAAGATTGCAGCTTGCTAGAGGGAGAGTACTCCACACTAGTATCCTACAAATCAAGAACAGAGCCGCAGGGCAAGACAAAGCCAGCCGTCGAAAATGGACATTGCTCCAGGAGCACCTAGGGAAGGAGGGAAAACACCAACTTCATTCTCTGTCACCGAAGAGGGACCCTACCCCCTCGCCATGGCTCGTAGGCGCCGTACAGTTGAGATTCAGAGAAGCTCACCCAAGAGCTAGAAGGATGCGCCCTCACATCGCATGGTGGACCTAGGGTGACCACCTCGATTTGGGATAAGCCAAGCCGCCAGCACCGCCAATGTCCACGCCCAACTAATTGGAGAAGGAAAGCTTCATGGAGAGTCGGGCGCCGAAGAGGAGGCAGCAGGGAACCGAGCAGAAATACGAGAGGCAAGGCAGCAGAGCACCACCGTGAGAAGACCCAGGTTTCTCCGGTTTACATGAAACCACAGCCGGCGGGAAGGGGAACCCTATCCCCTACTATCAGGATCGAGACGCCGAGCTGCCGGGGCCGAGAGGCATCCACCACCACCGGAGAGCACCAACTAGAAGAGATGACAGTGCCTACAGCCCACACCTCATCCACACAAGCTCGAGACACAAGCAACCTCAATCCCACACTGCACATCCTCCCATCCGAGCCCCAACACCCCTGACGACGCCTTCAGAAAGGTCACTAACGAC